CAGCCTCCCAAGTAGCTGGGACTACAGCACATGCCACCACGGCTGCCTAATTTTGGTATTTTTAGTAGCGATGGGGTTTCACCATATTGGCCAGCCTGGTCTGGAACTCCTGACCTCATGGTCTGCCCCCCTCAGTCTCCCAAAGTGCTGGGATTACAGGCTCGACCCACTGCCCCGGGTCGTATCGACTCTTATTATGACTTATTTGTTATTAATCATTAGTACTTGTAGCTCATGTTTGTGTTCTTTGTACATTTTGAAACCCTTCCAAGTATTTCATTAGCTGTTATTCTGCGAGATGAAAGAGGCTTGTAGAGGAAACTGAGGGCATGGGACAATGAGAAGTGTGGTTTGCTCAGTGATCTGGCAGCGTGTGGGGCGTGCCCTGAACTTGGCTGTTGTGTGTCCTGGCAGGAGCAGAGGGTGGGCTCTGGGTCTTCAGGCCACTCTGGTCTTCTTACCCACAAGCAGAGTATTTGCACTGTGGCACAGAGGGTGGAGTGGGGGTGTGGGAGCCGCAGGCTGCAGGTCAGGGCCTCACACACAGGGTTCCTCAGGCAGCTGTTGCTGCCATTGCCCGTAGCGAGATTTCTATCCTTTTACCTGCGTCATATACACTGGGGGCACTCTCCCTGCAGGGGACCCAGCAAGGACCCTGTGCAATCCATCATCACCCTTTGGTTTCTCTCGTCTGGGTGCTTATTCAGTTGGACCCACTTGCAGCCGGGTAAACCGCAGGCACAGTCCCGCTCCCTGAGCCACTGACCCGTCACACCCATCGTGACGCTTTGAAAATCGTTCAGATTCTTCCTGTGGCGCTTTCCATCCTGTCTCCTCTCTGGTCTGTGTAGTCTTGTGTTACTATTTCAGGAATGATCTGTAAATGTGTCTCTTGCTTTATTGGAGCATATTAATTCCACAATGCCTGAAGCCAGACCGTCTGTAGAAGGCAGATGCTGGGGCCTGAGACCCCAGACTGCATCCGTTTCCCGTGTCATTGCCCAGTCCCCCTTTACATGTTGCTGTCTCCATCCTCTTCTCACCTCTCTGAAGGTCTTAGTAGAAACAGAATCCTGACAGACCTGCTGCGGGCTCCTCAGGCGCACGTGTATCATGTGAAATGCGTTTCAGACTGCTGCCACGCTGTCATTCTGATATCCTGGGACAAATGACATGCTTTTAAATGTGCCTGGTGAATTTGATCATGAGCCTGCATTTTCTCTCTGTGGGTTTTGGTATGAATTGTCCCAGAGTCTAGGAGAGGAGGGATCCGGGGCAGAATTGCTACTGTCTGTCCCATCAAGCTCAAAATGCCAGGTGAGATGCGGCTGCCATTTCCCTCTCAACACAGCCCTGCCTACACTGGCTCCATACCCAGCACGAGGCTGGGTGACTTCTCCCCCAAAAACCTCAAGCCCAGTCTTAGGTTTGCACATGGAAAGGAGAAGCGTGCATAGTAGTAACACACATTAGCACCTTCCACATGTTTCTGCAGCAGCAGGAAGACACTGACCGGCCTTTAAGATTGCAGCAAGCATCGAGGGAACTGTCCACAGGGCCAGAGTGACCGGCTCCAGGTAGCCCCCGGGGGGCCCACGAAGAACCTCACTCCCTGGCCCAGACCAGAGTGAAAATGCAGCAGCCTCCGGCAGATGGGGCTTCGTGGTCTGGAGGATGAAATCAGCAGGCAGAACCACGCTCGGGGTGGACTGTTGCCTGAAGGCTCCTGCGCACAGAAGGAAGGCCCTGGCCCTTGGCTAGCAACTGTCCGCTCTCACGTGTATGCCTCCCTCTGGCCGTGTTGGGGTCTGTGAGCTGAAAGCCTGGGCTCACCCCTGAGGGGTGGAGAGCGCAGGAAAGCAGAAGCAGGCTTGTCCCTGCGCCGTGCGAGCAGGAGCTTTTTGCGTGGAACGGGCACGCTGCAGAACCTCCTCACTGGGCATCCTGGGTGACTCCCAGCACTGGGCGAGGCACAGATGGGGCAGACCACAGGGGAAGTCAGCCCAGCCACCAGGCGAAGCGTCCTGGGATGTAGGGAACTGGTAGCTGACTTAGCAGCACATACTTCGTATGAAAGGAATGGGAATGCCCTCAGCCCAGAGGATGTATAGCAGTGCCAGTGCTGGGCTGTGATTCTGACCTGGAAGGCAGGAAGGTGACAGCCTCTGGGCCGGAGACTCCCAGGTCAGGGTGGCCAGAGAGAGAGCCTGTGCTTTCTTGGACAGCTTGTGCAAAGCAAGGCTGGGGCACCTGCCCCTCGGTTGATGAGGAGGGGGAAGGATGTGGTCTGCAGGAAGCCAGGCAGAGCCCGCAGCCTTGCCACATGGGGGTTCCATGGGGAGGGTAAGGGGTTCCAAGGACAGTAGCCAGTTGCCTCAACATCCAGTCCTTCTTGAAGAATCAGATTGATGTTACATTTTCGAAGGTTGGAGCAGAAACAAGGCAGGAAGGGAGATGGGGAGAGAAGGAAGCAGGCATGGAGGGTCTCCCACCTTCAGCCCTGGTGGTGCCTGGGCAATGCTGTGCAGGGGGCTGTTCTGGGTGGGTGGGTTCCATACACCCAGCTTCCACCCCCTGGGAGCCTGCAGCAGTCACACAGGTGTGGCAGCCAGTGTCTCCGGGCACTGCCAGAAGTCCCAGTGGAGGCAAAACCCCTCCATGGAGAAGCACTGGACAGCAGGCTCTGGAGACGGTTTTATCAGAGGCTGTGGCGGGGCGGGGGAAGGGGCAGGGGCAGGGGTCCCAGGGTGAAGGAGGAAGAGCTGGCACAGAGGAGAGAAGCTGGACGGGCCATGTGGGCTCTCGCTTTCCAGAGGCAAAGATTTCACTCTAGAATTAATAAGTGACAACTAGTTTTGCATTTTATTTTGTTTCTAATGGAAATCTCTTGTGCAAATAAATTCCTCCTCATAATAAAAGTAGGAGGCCTGGCGCTGTGCTGGAGTGAGCCAGTGCATGCACTCACTCTCTCTTTCCATCTCCCTCTCCCTGCTACCCCTCCCCCCTTCTCTCCATCTCTTTCTCCCCCCATCTCTCTCTCTCTGTCTCTCCTTCCCTCCCTCCCTCGCTCTCACGCAGAGGGAGGCTGTGATTTTCACTCCAGCAGGATTCTTAGTAGCCCAGCTCCCAGGACTTGCTGGGTGGGGAACGGGCTGCAGTGGCCTGTTTGTGGCACCCAATGGCCTGGGCTTGTCATCTGGTCTCCTTGGCTCAGGAGACATTCTCGGGCAAATGCATGCATCTGGGGAGTTTATTCCCACCTGGCCTGTGACTCGCTGCACAAAGCAGCATCCTTTCGTTTCTGAAAATGGCTTGAAGAGTAACTGGATGCCTAATGCAAACTGTGCACCCAGGGCACCAAATAATTTGGGGCTGAATTCAACCCTGTTGATCCTCTGATGTCTCCATGTGCATGCCTTGAGCTTCTCCTGTACATCAGGCCATGGCTCCTACTCCTGATAACCCCCGTGGGAGCTCGGGAGCATCAGACGGCACCCAGCTCTCCTGCAGTAGCTGTGGGCCCTGGTTTCCAGCCTGGGCTCTGACCCAGGTGCTCCCGGATAAACAGAGCCCCAGGTGGGACCCAGACGTCAAACACCCTCCTTCCTCCTCCCCCTTCCCATCAGGCCTTGTCGGAAGAGGTGTTGAAATCTGCTTTCCGGTGTCCTTGAGAGATGTAGAGCGGGCTTCAGCTGCAGCTGCTGCATCTGTTTTCCAGAGCTGCATGGCCATGGGGGTCCCTGACTCCAGAGCTGAGCTCCAGATGGTCACGCACAAGTGCCCAAGAGAGGGCTGCAGGCTCGATGTTTTCGGCCTACACCATGGGGACCCCACCAGGCAGGATCAAGGAAACCCCATGCTCAGTAGGGGCAGCAAGACCCAGCCCGGCCCTGCTCTGCTGCTGCCTACCAACTACCAGACTGGCCCCTCAGCGCATGGGCATGGCCTGTGCCTCTGTCACCAGGGTGATTTGACTAAACCCAGCGTCCTCCCCAGAATCTGCCCAGCAGGCCCCAGCCCTCCCTCTCCACGCTTCTCTCCACACTGTGCCCTTCCAGCTCCCTCCATCTAACCACCACCTGCGGCATCCCCCGCCCGAGGAGCACACCAGGTTCCAGATGCCTGTGCCTTGTTCCCTTACATTCAATTATCCCAGCAGAGGCCGTTGTTGCCCCAGAGGACTGAAAACCACTCATCTCAGCTTTGGAAGCATCGTCAGGCAGGCAGCTCTGAGACCGGAGCACGGAGGGCTGTGCACTTTCTGTGCCTTCTGTCCAAGGTCCTGTCCAGGAAATAAGTTAGAGCCCAGAGGGGGCCATGGGAAGAGCTGGGTCTCTGCAGATGCAGGCATCCTCCCATAGAGGAGCCTGGGTGCTCTATTCTGACACCGAAGGCAGGTTCCTGGCAGAGGTGCCACGGCCCCCAGAGCACAGACCCTGAGACAGGTGGTAAGACAGCGCCCTGGGCTGGCTCTGAAGTGGCAGTTTTTGCGGTGTCTCACAGAGCTGAAGGTCCATGGTTAGGGTTAGGGTTAGGTGCCCCAGAGTCCCAGGGCAGGGAGGAAAGAGCCCCACGGCTGCAGTGGGGGCAGGCGGTTGCCCTCCTGTATGATTTTACTTGGAAAAAAAGATTCTACTATCAAAAAGAAGCTTGAAAATGATTGCCATAAAATGAAAAACACTTAGCATGTCCCCAAACCTTTATACCTCAAACTATGCCTTTTATATATATCTGTCTATAATATGTAGTTCTTACATATGCCATATGATCGCTAATACCACACATATTAATATATTTTTATATGTCATCTATATTTGAGAATATGTAGAAATCCCTCGTAATCCACGAGACCAACGCAGTCTGTGATAAGAATGCTGGTCTCAAACTCCTGACCTTGTGATCCGCCCCTCCCTCCCCGCAGCAGGTTCCTGCATCCCCAGTGTTCTGCAGGGATGTCTCTGCATCCTCAGCGCCCTTTCTTGCTTTCCTTATGTTAATAGAAGCTGTACCGGAAGGAGATCAAGCCACCGTTCAAACCAGCAGTGGGCCGGCCTGAGGACACCTTCCACTTTGACCCCGAGTTCACAGCGCGGACACCCACAGGTGTGTGCCACAGCGGTTCCCTCTATCGCTGGCTTCTCCCACCTGACCCCGTAGGGACAGATATCTAGGAACCGGGCATTCCCATGCTTAAGCATTCTTGTGGTGGAAAATAACTGTCTGGTCTGTTTAGGGGTTGGGCTAGCAGTTTTCTCTGCTCAGTGGTAAAGGCCTAAGTGACCCAGTGCTCTGTTCTTGCCTCCGTAACCTCCACCCTGGAAATGCTGAAGGCGTCCTATGGATTCTCGGATTCCAAGTCACTGGTCCAGTCACTTTCTGTGTCAGAGAGACACACAGCAAGAGCAAGAAAAGAAGCTGGAGACAATTAAAATCCCTCCTTGAATTAATTAATTTTTTCATTAATTGAAGTGCATTTACGGAGAGGGAAGGTTGTCAGTTATGTCTGTAGATTTGTCAGCTCTGGATATTATCCATGGCAAAAAGAAACCCATTTGAAAAGCTGTATCGGCTACTAAATAGCATAGCAAATGGATGTATACATTTGGTCTCCTGGTGTGTCTGAAATTACTCTTGGGGTCTAGCAAGTTTCATCAGAGCTGGTCAGCTCCCTTTAGAAGTTATATTTTTGGGATATCGATGGATTAAAGTTTGCTTTTCTTATACGTGGTAATTGTCCTGGTCTGATAGGGCTATCATAACGGATACCACAGACTGGCTGGTTTAAACAGCAGTCATTTATCTTCTCACAGTCTGGAAGTCCAAGTCCAAGGTACTGGCAGGGCTGGTTCCTGTGAGGGCTCTGGCCTTGACCTGCGGACAGCTGTCTTCTTGCTGTGTCCCCACATGGCCTTTCTTCTGTATGTGCAAAGACAGCAAGATTGAGCTGGGCCGGGTGCAGTGGCTCATGCCTGTAATCCCAGCATTTTGGGAGGCCAAGGTGGGCAGATCACAAGGTCAGGAGTTTGAGACCAGCCTAGCCAACATGGTGAAAACCCATCTCTACTAAAACAAAAAAATATTAGCCAGGTGTGGTGGCGGGCACCTATAATCCCAGTTACTCAGGAGGCTGAGGCAGGAGAATTGCTTGAACCCAAGAGGTGGAGGTTACAGTGAGCCGAGATCATGCCACTGCAGTCCAGCATGGGTGACAGAGCAAGATTCTGCCTCAATCAATCAATCAATAGAAAGATTGAGCTCTGGTGTCTCTCCATCTTCTTATAAGGACAGCAGTCCTCCTGGATTAGGGCTTCACACTTTTATCCTCATATTACTTCAGTTATTCCCTTAAAAGTCTACATTATTCTGTTTTCCCACTGCTGATAAAGACATGCTGGAGACTGGGCAGTTTACAAAAGAAAGAAGTTTAATGGACTTGCAGTTCCATATGGCTGAGGAAGCCTCACGATCGTGGTAGAAGGCAAATAGGAGCAAGTCCCATCTGCTGTGGATGGCAACAGGCAAAAAAAGAGCTCGTGCAGGAGGACTCCCCTTTTTAAGACCCTCCGATCTCATGAGACTTATTCACCATCGTCAGAACAGCATGGGAAAGACCCGCCCACATGTTTCAATCATCTTCCACCAGGTCCCTCCCACAACACGTGGGAATTATGGGAGCTACAAGATGAGATCTGGTTGGGGACAGAGCCAAACCATACCAAGGCCTATCTCCAAATACAGTTAGACGGGGTTAGGGCTTTAACTTTGGCATTTGGGAAGGACATCGTCAGTCCACAACACTAACGGCATGCTGGTTATGTACAAAACCATCCCCAAGCTCCTTCTGTAGACGTAAGTGCGACACGTCCGGAGAGCTGGTGGTTGTCCAGCTCGCGTCTTGGGTCTGTGGGAATTCGCCATAGTTTTTCCTCACCGTTTTTGAATCTGAAATTGTCATGTTTTTAAAAAGATAATCAGGAAACAGATAGATGGTTAACCACGAAGTGTCAAGTGTAGATGAAGTTAGAACAGTGAATCCATTTGTTCCTCTGGGTTCAGGCTGTTGGTGAAATCCCTGTTTGCCATACCCACATGGGCACATCGAGGTGGGTGTGAGCTTGTGCAGGTCAGGAGCGGGTGGGGCTTGGAGTGGGACTTCTGATGGGCCTAGGCCACCTCCTGACCTGGGCCACGTTGGTACGAAGAACAGGAAGAAAGGCACTGTTAACTCGGGGGTCCTGCCACCCACTTCTCATTGCTTCTTTTGGGTCCTCCTGCAGTCCCCAGGTAGAATCAAAACTGTCATTACAGCCTTGGGTCATCACTGATTTGTGATGTAATGAGGCTGCCTTGGAGGACACTGCTGGGTCTGTTTTCTCAAAAAAGTGATGGTAGGATTTCCACTTAGCCCTCAGTTTCCTTAGAAAGTATTTGGGAAGAGTTGGGGTTGGTCCTTCCCATTGACAAAATGAACCTAATTCACAGAACAGGATTACTTTCAGTTTCTGAGTTTGAAAAGATGGGGCAGGATTTCATCCTGGCTCTGCCCACAGGTTACCCAAGCAGGTCATTCCATTTGTCCACCTACAGTTGACCTGAATATAGAAGGAGCTCAAAGAGAATTAGGTTCGACCACGAGATCATTGTCCCTGAGTACACAGGGACCATGTGGTCCCCAACAGAATGTGCACATGTCCTTCTGAGGTGCCACCACGTGGGGCTGTGTGTTTAAAATGTGGAAAGAAAGTCCGTATTTGTGCTGCTTGGTAAGAAAATGTTAATACAGTCAACTCGAATATTCACATGGGCATGGCTTTTACCTTACCCATGAAGAATTTAAACTCCCACCTGGTTGGCCAGTGGCACCAGAAGTGTTTTTTTTTGGGGGGGTGGAAATTCAAAGAGAATTCAGTTTTGTTTTAATATAGCCTAAGAAAAACATAATTAGACACAACACATTCCAATGCTATTCAGAATTGGCTTCCTTATTCCTTAGTTTTTCCAGTTCTCCAATCAGTTTACTTAATTTCTCACACCACAGTTTGCCTTTGAGGTAGGTTGTCATTGAAGTGCTAAAGACACATTAAACTCATTCTGATTTACATAGGAGAGTAGGTGTCTAAGATGTGAGCTGAGCACAGGGCTGGGTGAATGAGCAGCTACAAATCCTTTATGTTAGCCCCTGGGTGCACGGGGGATTTGCTTGTGGGAGGGTTTTCAGTCTTTCCTTAGACTTCAGCCAGTGTTCAAGTTGGCTTCTAATCCTGATCACACACTGGCTGCGCATTGGAGCATGCTGCTCAGCCAGAAACGGCAACCTAAGATTTAAATCCGATCCGGCAGGCTCCACAAATCGGGAAATACCCACAGGATCAACAGAGGTTGTTTGTAATCACTGTAGTTCTAAATTTCCTTTTCTCTAACTCACATTTTTGCTCTTCTTAAATACTGTGCTGAAAACCAGCATCCCTCCGGTGATTACAAAGTACTTTAAATTCCATTTAGGCCACCTGTCGTTTCCTTACTAGCTAGCCACATCGACCAGATGTCAGCCGCTTCACTTCTGGTAAAGAGCCTCTTGGCCTTCGGTATATTGCTGTCACTCTTACCCTTTCCGCAGGCTCTCCTTGGTCTGTGCGGGGAGAGGCACAAGTTCTCTGGCCAGGAAGGTGTGGCTGTGTCTTCCGTACCTCTTGGTTGGCTAGAAGACATTGCTTATCAGACTTACAGATTTTCCAGTTACCAATGAAAGCATATCTGTCAGGTTAACATGGCTTGCACCCCACCCCTGCACACACTCCTCCACCACCTGTGAGTTAAACTCCCGATCCACACACCGCTCCACGGGCTGTGAATTAGACTCCCGATCCACACACCGCTCCACGGGCTGTGAATTAGACTCCCGATCCACATACCGCTCCACGGGCTGTGAATTAGACTCCCGATCCACACACCGCTCCACGGGCTGTGAGTTAGACTCCCGATCCACACACCGCTCCACGGGCTGTGAGTTAGACTCCCCATCCACACACCGCGCCACGGGCTGTGAATTGGACTCCCGATCCACACACCGCTCCACGGGCTGTGGGTTGGACTCCGGATCCACACACCGCTCCACGGGCTGTGGGTTGGACTCCCCATCCACACACCGCTCCACGGGCTGTGGGTTGGACTCCCCATCCACACACCGCTCCACGGGCTGTGGGTTGGACTCCCCATCCACACACCGCTCCACGGGCTGTGAATTAGACTCCCGATCCACACACCGCTCCACGGGCTGTGAATTAGACTCCCGATCCACACACCGCTCCACGGGCTGTGAATTAGACTCCCGATCCACACACCGCTCCACGGGCTGTGAGTTAGACTCCCGATCCACACACCGCTCCACGGGCTGTGGGTTAGACTCCCCATCCACACACCGCGCCACGGGCTGTGAATTGGACTCCCGATCCACACACCGCTCCACGGGCTGTGGGTTGGACTCCGGATCCACACACCGCTCCACGGGCTGTGGGTTGGACTCCCCATCCACACACCGCTCCACGGGCTGTGGGTTGGACTCCCCATCCACACACCGCTCCACGGGCTGTGAATTAGACTCCCCATCCACACACCGCTCCACGGGCTGTGAATTAGACTCCCGATCCACACACCGCTCCACGGGCTGTGAATTGGACTCCCGATCCACACACCGCTCCACGGGCTGTGGGTTGGACTCCCGATCCACACACCGCTCCACGGGCTGTGAATTAGACTCCCCATCCACACACCGCTCCACGGGCTGTGAATTAGACTCCCAATCCACACACCGCTCCACGGGCTGTGAATTGGACTCCCGATCCACACACCGCTCCACGGGCTGTGGGTTGGACTCCCCATCCACACACCGCTCCACGGGCTGTGGGTTGGACTCCCGATCCACACACCGCTCCACGGGCTGTGGGTTGGACTCCCGATCCACACACCGCTCCACGGGCTGTGGGTTGGACTCCCCATCCACACACCGCTCCACGGGCTGTGGGTTGGACTCCCCATCCACACACCGCTCCACGGGCTGTGAATTGGACTCCCGATCCACACACCGCTCCACGGGCTGTGGGTTAGACTCCCCATCCACACACCGCTCCACGGGCTGTGGGTTGGACTCCCCATCCACACACCGCTCCACGGGCTGTGGGTTAGACTCCCCATCCACACACCGCTCCACGGGCTGTGGGTTGGACTCCCCATCCACACACCGCTCCACGGGCTGTGGGTTAGACTCCCGATCCACACACCGCTCCACGGGCTGTGGGTTGGACTCCCGATCCACACACCGCTCCACGGGCTGTGGGTTAGACTCCCGATCCACACACCGCTCCACGGACTGTGGGTTGGACTCCTCATCCACACGCCGCTCCACGGGCTGTGGGTTGGACTCCTCATCCACACACCGCTCCACCGGCTGTGGGTTGGACTCCTCATCCACACACCGCTCCACGGGCTGTGGGTTGGACTCCCCATCCACACACCGCTCCACGGGCTGTGAATTAGACTCCCCATCTGTGCTCAGCACTTCACACTTGTCATGGTTCCTCAGGTTCTGAGTCTAAAGCCCTAAGTTAGGACATGAAAGTGCCTCCAGGTTTGAAGATGTTTTAAACTGTGATGTAGCCATGTGCGCTTCATTTTTCTAGGGAGAATATGAGGCACGTGGTAGCTGGTGTGATTTCTGGGAGGAGGCCGACCTCAAAGCCAGACTTCCGTGCAGTTAACAAACTCTCAGCAGCAAGAGCGCTTCGTCCTTGAGTGGCTCCGTGTACCGGGAAGCAGAGCCGCTCAGAAAGCCCGTGCTTCTCTGCCAGGTTGCACTGCAGAATTTCAGTTTCTAAACACAACTCAGTGTTCCTTGGGTTTTTAATGATGCCTCGCTAGTCTGGCGGTTGGAAGATTATTTCCAAACACAGCCAGCTCGGGTCACATTAGTCCAGGATCCTGCAGGCATCTACCTGGGGGGACTGTGAAGGCCCCTTTGAGGGCCGACGCTGGCTCTGCCTGCCTCTTGGTCCAGGACACTGACAATAAGCAGGTCCATGCAGCTTCCTACCACCGGAAGAGCACCAGTGGGGTGCTGGGTCGTCTGTCTGTCTGCGGCCTGGCCCCCACTGGCACCAGAGGGCCACGCAGAGTGGGGGCTGGTTCCTGGGTTTTGGAGAAGCAGCCCTCATAACCATTGCCCCAGAATATGATACTAAGAAACAAAACACATGTTCTCTGCAGCGGTCTGCCACCCCCACACGCCTGCCTCACCATGAGATAAAACTGAGAACTGGGTGTATTTTTTTCATTTCGAAGTACAGACCCTAAACAGAGGAGGCGAGGAACCAGGGCTGAGAGACAAAGGCTTGCAGGTAGAGAATTCTAGAATATACAGTTACATCCTCTGCAAACATGGAGTCTTAAGAGATACATAAATAAGGATGTTTATACTTTTACATGTGGATGTTTTCAGGAAAAATTACATATTATATTTTATAAAGTTTACATGTATATAATATTGTATTTTAATGTAATATATATTCTATTTTAATATATTAAATCTCTTATTCTGTTATCCTATTACTCTATTTTTTTTTTTGAGACAGAGTTTTGTTCTTGTTGCCCAGGCTGGAGTGCAAGGGTACAATCTCTGCTCACTGCAACCTCCACCTCCCGGGTTCAGGCAGTTCTCCTGCCTCGCCCTCCCTAGTAGCTGGGATTACAGGCACCCACCACTACGCCTGGCTTTTTGTATTTTTATTAGGGATGGGGTTTCACTATGTTGCCCAGGCTGGTCTTGAGCTCCTGACCTCAGACAATCCACCACCTCAGCCTCCCAAAGTGCTGGGATTACAGACATGAGCCACCGCACCTAGCTCATCTATTTATATATATATATATATATATTTAAATTATTAAAATAATGTCTGAGTTCTTCTTCAACAGCTCTTTGCTTTTTTCAGTTTGACAAACAATTAGGAAGCCACATCTCCGTCAGTCCACGTAGCTGTGGCTCCTTCTGGTGGCCCTGGTCTCGCTGGCAGAACTCACAGCATCTATTACAGAGCGTCCTGATACGGATGGGCCACTGTTGACCGTGGCCATGATTGTCTTAGTGAGGAGTATTTCGTGTCTCCCTTTTCTTTTCTGTAACATATATCGGTGAAACAGACTTTTTCTACACTTATGTCTCAGTACTTTGGGGTTTTTGGTTTGCTCGTTGTGTTTTTTATTTGTGTCAATGTCAGGGGTACAGCTGTAGCCTTGTTCATGGGTGTGTTGCACAGCGGTGCGGGCTGGGCTTTCAGCGTCACCATCACCTAGGAGTGTTCATTGTACCCATGAAGTCACTTCTCATCCCTCACCTCCTCCCACCCTTCCACGTCTCCATTCTCTGTCCCTCCACACTCGACAGCCACACGCACACATTATTCGGCACCCACTTATGAGTGAGAGCATGTGGGGTTTGATCTTCCTGAGTTGCTTCACTTAAAAAATGGCCTCCGTTTCCATCCATGTTGCTGCAAAAGACATGATTTCATTCTTGTTTATGACTGAAAGTATTCCATTGTGTGTACATTTCACATCTTCTTTATCCAGTCTCCAGTTGAGGGACACTGAGGTTGACTCCACAACTTTACAATTATGAATAGTGCTGCAGTAAGCTCGCAAGTGTGGGTGTCTTTTTGAGACAATGAGTTCTTTTTCTTGGGGTCGATGCCCAGCAGTGGGATTGCATTGAATGTAGTTCCAATTTTAGTTCTTTGAGAAAGCTCCATACTGTTTTCTGTAGAGGTTGTACTAATTTACATTCCCACCAGCAGCCTATGAGCGTTCCCTTTCTCCACATTCTCACCAACATCTGTTACTTTTTTGACATTTTAGTGATAGCCATTCTGATGGATGTAAGATGATATCTCACTGTGGTTTTCATTTGTGTTTCTCTTACGACTAGTGATCCTGAGCATTTTTTCATATACCGTCTGTCCATCTGTATGTCCTCTTTTGAAAACTGTCTGTGTCCTCTGGCCAAAATGCAATGGGTTGTTTGTTTTGTTGCTGTTGTTGAGTTGTTTAAGTTCCTTGTACATTCCGGATATTACTCCCCTGTCAGTTGCATAGTTAGCAAATCTTTCCTCCCATTCTGCAGCTTGTCTGTTCTTTCCGTCGGCGATTTCTTACGCTCTGCAAAAGCTTTCTAGTTCAAGTCTCATATGTCTGTTTTTGTTTTCGTTGCTTGTGCTTTTGAGGTCTTAAGGGACTTTTGAAGTCTTTGCCTAGACCCATATCCAGAAGAGTTTTCCCTAGGATTTCTTCTAGTGTTTTCACTGTCTCAGGCCTTCGGTCACTTAAGACTTTAATCTACCTTAGTTGATTTTTGTATATGGTGAGACATAGGGGTCCAGCTTCATTCTTTTGCTTATGACAAACTAATTTTCCCAGTACCATTTATTGAAAAGAGTGTCCTTTCTCCAGTATATGTGTTTGTCAACTTTGTCAAAGATGAGTTGGCGCTAAGTACGCGGCTTCATTTCCAGGTTCTCTATTCTGTTCCATTAATCTCTGTCTGTTTTTATGCCAGTGCCATGCTATTTTGGTTACTGGATCCTTATGGTGTAATTGAAGGCAGGTAATGTGATGCTTCTAGCTTTGTTCCTTTCACTGAAAATTGCTTTGGCTCTTCGGGCTCTTTGTTGGTTCCATGTTAACTTTAGGATTGGTTTTTCTAATTCTGTGAAAAATGACGTTGGTCTTTTGATAGAGATTTCATTGAATCTGTAGATTGCTTTGGGCAGTACGTTCATTTTAATGATATTAGTTCTTCTGGTTTATGAGCATGGGATGTTTTTCTATGTGTTTGTATCATCTACAGTTTATTACTGTGTACTTTTGAAAGCAATTCTGCGGGATAAATTTCTAGATGTGGAGTTGTCTTCGAGGACACGCAGATTTTAAAGTTGTATGACCACTACCAATTGACTTTCCAAAAGATTGTGCCAGTTATGCTCTCTCCTGCAATTAGAAGGGTGTCTACCCCCAGCAAACCCAGATGTGATTGATTTGTTTCACTTTCATTGATTCATTGGGCAAAATCATGATCCTATTTAAATATGTGTATGCTCACTTCTTAGAGAGATTGGGCATTGTTTCAAGCCTATGGTAGCTATCAGAATTCCTTCCTTTGAGTATTTTGCTCTTTTCTCATTGATCTCTGGGAGCTTTTGGTTAATAGAGAGTTTAGGTTCTCATCTGTTATGTATGATGCAGATATTTTTTTTCCCCATGACGCATTTATCCTTTTGTTTTTCTTAATGATAAACTTGAAGTGGGATTGATCTCACAGCAGTCATGCTTTTGAACACAGATCTTACAGAGATCAGAATAATCTTAATGGAAGGGAATCACACCTTGTGTGCTCTGCCTTGTTGTGGCAGGAGCAACATTGCCCAAATTTGGGCAATGTTGAGAGCAGAACACGTGCACAGCACACACACAGTTACGCAGCTGTGGGCGCGGGGGTGGGAGCTGTCGAATCTGGAGACCAGATGCTAACATTCATTGACAATTCCATCCTGAGGTTCTTGGTGTCTTCTTAACTGAGTCTGGAGTGGGTGCGGGTGAAGGACTGTGGTTAAGAATGCATAGTAAATTCAGAAGGCAGCAAACTGAAAGATGCCATCGATGATAATCCTGAAGTTTTTGTTCCGGGTATTTTTGCCATTTAAAAATCAAACCATTAGCACCTGTTTCATCTGGTTCAGCATTTCTACATGTTATTTTACCTTTTCCTCCAACACAGGCATACAACACACACACGCATGCACACACAACTTACACACACATACCACATGCACACACACACACACACAGACACCACTGCTTTACCCCAGGGTCACCCAGCTTTTGTGATATCTGAACTCTGCCCCTGTCACCTGCAGACTCTCCTGGTGTCCCCCCAAGTGCGAATGCTCATCACCTGTTTAGAGGATTCAGCTTTGTGGCCTCAAATCTGATCCAAGAGCCCTCACAACAAGATCTCCACAGAGTCCCAGTCCACCCAATCGTGCAGGTAACTGTGTTTGCCTGCAGTGGGTTGGGGGTAAAGGGCACTTGGATGAGGGGTGACTCTGGTGTTCCCTGTGGCCTCAGTCACCTGGGGATTGGGTGCTTAGGGTGAGTGGACTTCAATCACCAATTCTTCCTCCCTGGCACTTCCTATTGTTCTGAGTATCTGCCATGGTGGTCCCCATGATGGTCCCTGTAGTGGTCTCATTGGTGTTCTGAGCCCTTGCTCCCACCCTAATTTGCATTCATCTTAAGGAAGAAAAATCCCTGGGTAGAATGTCACCATGGTGTGTCTATGGCCAGAGACTGGAGCATCTTCACTGTGGAGCCCAGCGAGGACGCTAAGATAGCAGTTTGATTCGTGGGCATCATTTTCCTCTGATGAAATGGAGGCTTTGGGGGGTTTATGGAAGGTGATATTTTTATAATGAGTTTCCCACCTAATAAACGTAACCAGAATACAGAGAATTCTGGGAGATTAAGCTTAATTAATCCTAATTCTAATTACGATTAAACTTATTTAAGAATTAAGTCCAGGTAAATTGGATGGCATTGGATCTCCATCCTATTTCCTTCCCTGCGGCCTTTTGGAGAAATACAGCATGTGTACAGCGGACATTGCCATGATACTGCATGCTGCCATGGGTGGCTTTCTGCCTCATTTAGGAGCAGGTGGGTGGGGCTTCTGTGTGCAGGTCAGAACAGGCTGTGACTTGGACACTATGGAATCAGATTCCATCCAGAGTCTTGCTGTGGATACAGGCATTGGAGCCGCACACCCAGTAGCTGCCGGCACTTCCGTCTCACTTGCAGATGCTCCTGCTCTCGGATCTTTGGGAGAAACACATCAGTCAGTGGACACTGAATGTCCCACTGTGTAAAACTCAAGAGTCATCGCCCAAGGAATCAGAGAAGCTAGGATTTAGGTCTAGAGCATCACTAAGTAACTCTGCAGCCTGGGGCACAGGAACCTATGAACTCCTGGGCCTCCACACCCTGGGTTCACAGCGGGTGCCTCTCTTCTCCCCCCATTCTGCGTGCATGTAGCTGCATTGCCCCATTTCATGAGGGTTCTGACAGCCCCTCTTCTCCTGGCCCCTCTGCAGCAGTTACACGGGAACAACATCCACTTCACTGATGGCTACGAGATCAAGGAAGACATCGGGGTCGGCTCCTACTCGGTGTGCAAGCGATGTGTGCATAAAGCCACTGACACCGAGTATGCTGTGAAGGTAAGGCAGGCCTGCCGCGTGAGCAGGGCCCCGTGTGAGTGCAGCGCGTGGGAGCACATACGGTGTGTGGGAGCACGGGGCGTAGGAGCACAGCGTATGTGGTCATGTGCCCAGCGGCGCAGTGACTCCAGCAGGGGCACCTGAGCCTGAGTAAACATTCTTTCCATTTGCCATTTTCCAAGCTCTGATATGAAGGAGTTCAGTTTGTTTTGATATGAGGCCATCCATTAAAAGATAGTTTTGCAAATCATGAATATTTTCAGTCACATCCAGCACGTAGGATGAGCACCTTTTGTAGCCTGTGTATGACACACACCAAGAATAAAAGCTTTGGGGCCCCAGTATTTTGAGAAAATAGAGTTGGGGGACAGGTACAGAATTTGGCAAGGAAAGGAAGGAAAGAAAACAGGGTGAGAGAAAGAAAATACTCAAATAAATAAATAAGCTTGGCCAGGCACGGTGGCTCATGCCTGTAATTGCAGCACTTTGGGAGGCCAAGGAGGGTGGATCACCTGAGGTTAGGAGTTCGAGATCAGCCTGACCAATATGGTGAAACCCCATCTCTAATTAATTAATTAGTTAATTAATAAGCAGCAAGCAAGCTAGTCTTGTTTACAGAAAACGTTGGCGGAGAGCTAGCGTTTTTACTCCCAACCATCAATAACAGTATATAGAAACAATATAACCCATTTGGCAATCTCTACATAGTAACTTTAGCTTCTGTAATTGTAGCTAGTTTAAATATTTGATCTGGGAATCCAGAATACGGTTTCTAGAGTTTTTTCGTTAGTAAAATGTCGATTGAAGGTAAAATTTCCTGTTAAAATCAGAATTAAATTTATGTTAAAAAAAAAATTGTACATCCTCTCTAAAAGACACTTGAAACTCCACCCCTTTCCTGTGGAGCTGAACCCCAGGCTGTCGCAGAGCGAGGTCCCTGCCTGTGCTGCCATCATGACTGGGACCAGCCCAGCTTATTCCCAGACACATCCGTAGCACATGGTTTGCTTTGATATGAGGTCGTCCACTAACTTGCCCTTCAAAGGACATCTGCCCAGCCAGCGAGTAGAGTGTAAGGAGTAATTTTCATCTACACTCTGAAGAGATTGTTCAAATTGATGACAACATTGAGATGACCCCATCCCATTCTCATTTGCCCAGAGCTCCACTGAAGTTTTAATGAAAACAGATATCTCTTTTTTTTAAATTGTACTTTAGGTTCTGGGGTGCATGAGCAGATCATGCAGGATTGCTGCATAGGTACACACATGACAATGTGGTTTGCTGTCTCCATCCCCCCGTCACCTACATCTGGCATTTCTCCCCATGTTATCCCTCCTTGACCTCCCCGCCCCCACACTGTCTCTCCCTCGGCCCCCCTCAACAGACCCCAGTGTGTGATGCTCCCCTCCCTGTGTCCATGTGTTCTCATTGTTCATCACCCTCCTATAAGTGAGAACATCAGGCATTTGATTTTCTGTTCTTGTGTCAGTTTGCTGAGAATTATGGTTTCCAGATTCATCCATGTCCCTACAAAGGATATGAACTTACTGTTTTTTATGGCTGAATAGTATTCCATGGTGTATGTGTGCCACATTTTCCCTGTCCAGTCTATCATTGATGGGCATTTGGGATGGTTCTACGTCTTTGCTATTGTGAACAGTGCTGCAATGAACATTCGTGTGCATGTGTCCTTATAGTAGAATGATTTATAATCCTTTGGATATATACCCAGTAATGGGATTGCTGGGTCAAATGGAATTTCTATTTCTAGGTCCTTGAGGAATCACCACACTGTCTTCCACAATGGTTGAACTAATTTACACTCCCACCAACAGTGTAAAAGTGTTCCTATGTCTCCACATCCTCTCCAGCATCTGTTGTCTCCAGATTGTTTAATGATCGCCATTCTAACTGGCGTGAGATGGTATTTAAATGTGGTTTTGATTTGCATCTCTCTGATGACCAGTGACGATGAGCATTTTTTCATATGATTGTTGGCCTCATGTATGTCTTCTTTTGAAAAGTGTCTGTTCATATCCTTTGCCCTCTTTTGAATGGGCTTGTTTGTTTTGTTCTTGTAAATCTGTTTTAGTTCTTAGTAGATTCTGGATATCAGCCCTTTGTCAGATGGGTAGACTGCAAAATTTTTTTCCCATTCTGTTGGTTGCCGATTCACTCTAATGACTGTTTCTTTTGCTGTGCAGAAGCTGTGGAGTTTCATTAGGTCCCATTTGTCTATTTTGGCTTTTGTTGCCAGTGCTTTTGGTGTTTTGGTCATGATGTCCTTGCCTATGCCTATGTCCTGAATGGTTTTGCCTAGATTTTCTTTTAGGGTTTTATGGTGTTAGATCTTATGTTTAAGTCTTTAATCCATCTGGAGTTAATTTTAGTGTAAGGTATAAGGAAGGGGTCCAGTTTCTGCTTTCTGCACATGGCTAGCCAGTTTTCCCAACACCATTTATTAAACAGGGAATCCTTTCCCCATTGCTTGTTTTTGTCAGGTTTATCAAAGATCAGATCGTTGTAGGTGTGTGGCGTTGCCTCCAGGGCCTCTGAAAATAGATATTTCAAAAGGATAGATCCTGAGGCATGGCCTGCATATTCACTGGGACTGTGTTTCTTACACCGGAAAAACAAAAGACACCAGCCAAAAACAAATCTCAGGTCCCTTGATTTCAAGAATTTATGGATTATAGACAAACAAAAAAGAAAGTTTAAATATAGAGGAACAATCTGCGATTCCCTCTGATAGCATCTCTGTGTTTAGTCTGCGCAGAGTCTTGAACCCATCCAGGAGACGTTCAGGAAGGAAATCTATCATGATTGACAGCTGCTGAGAAAATTGGGTGGAGACTGCAGTGTTACGTTAGTGGTAGAATGTCCACCGAGGTGTGAAAAGCAGAAAACCAGGTTTTGCTGTGAAGCGGCTCCTCTGCAGCCTGGGGAGTGTAGGCTTGCTGTGTCTGTTATTTGGATTGTTGAGGCTGGTTTGCCCTGCTCCTCCATCTCACTGGGAGGGTTTGAAGGAGAACTTAGATGGGCGCCTACCATTTGCACATCCAGGTGCTGTTCCTTCGTCGAGATGTCCCCGTGGTGAAGAGTAGACCTGTATTCCACCTTAGACAGAAGAGTTGCACTTACACTTCGAAACGTATTTCCCATAAGCCTACGACGCTTTTGTGAAACATATTTCACGTAAGCATACGAAGCTCCTTGGAATTTTCTTCTGTCTGAGCCATTGCTCACAGAGTTTTCTTTAGATTGTTTATCGGCTGACAGGCAGCAGTCCCAGAAACAATCACTGCCTGCCAGTGAGCTCAAAGAAACAAGCCTAGGGTTTGTCAGCCCAGAAGCCACAGTGCCCTTCTGGAAACAGCCTGCTCCTGTGAGGCGGATCAGCCCCCGTTTGTGCCTCTGCAAGTGAATCCCCCAGTGACAAGGCAATGGGGTCTTCTCCTACTATTACCTTATCCGACTCTGATCTAAAGGCACAGTCTGAATTCAGCTTGGTTACATGGCTTATAACTGAGTCCCTCAGTCTTCAAAGATCTTGCTGAGGTCAAACCCTGTGGAATTTCAGCAACAGCTCTCGGGGAGAGAAGCCAGGCGCGGTGGCTCCAGCCGATGGTATAAGAAAGAGCCTGATCCTCCAGTTTCTCTTTCACAAAACTTGAAGTTCCCTGGACAAATGTAGCCAGTGCACATGGCAGGGATTTCCCTTGTGCCTTCTGAGGCTACAGTGGGTCACAGTGTGTTGTCGGGATGATACAGAAATTAACCAAGCATGGGAAGGTGCAGCCCTTTGGAGGGCCCGGGACTTTCCAGACAGATGTGGCTCAGGGTCCAGAAGGCTCCTGTGACCACAGCCATTTCAGAAGCACGTTTCAGCCAGTCAAGGGAGTGGTGACAAGTTCATTTATCTGTGGGTAGACGCAGTTGTTTGGATTTCCTTCAGAGATGAACAAGCTGGCATTTCTGAGCAGGGAGTTTGTTACTTAGAATGGGCCCACTTGTTACCAAAACCTAGATGCAGTGCAGACCACTGTGGGGTTTTGTCTTCAGCATTTTCAGGTGGAATGTAATGGAAATACTTTAGGTCCTTGTCTGTATCCGCTGGCTTGTGTATGAGAAGCAGCCTCCCCACCTACTGACGACGGACTGAGAAGCAGCAAAGGTTGCTGATTCCTAATGTGACCCAGAACTAACCATGTGGCAGTTGATTGTCTGACGTGTGAGTTGGATCTCAGCTCAGTAGATGTCCTGCCAAGACTGTCACTAGAATCCAGCTTTACCACTCCCAGTTGTCATGTGAGCCGCATACAAGCCCACCTACCCGTGGCTCATGGATACAAACGGGGTCTGCTTCAGCAGTCCCATCCTAGCCATGCGGGGCTTCCTCTCATTCCATGGCATGGGTGACCCAGAAACCAATAATAAAGGAAGGCAGCAATCTTGACTAAACAATGAGGACAGTGACCAGAATAGATGGATTCTGCCCAGGGACATCATATTCATTTGGGTGACTGTGGCCCCCAGGGGATACTGGCAGTGTCTGGAGACTTTCTGGTTTTTACAGCTGGAGCAGGGTCTCCTGGCATTGGTGGATATGGGTGAGGGAAGCTGGTCAGCATCCTGCAGGACACAGGACAGCCCCCACTGCCTGCTACCCCAACAGAAGATTGACAAGCCCAAACTACAGCATCCTGTGGGTGAGGGCGGGTCTCATGTAGATAAAGGTCAGGAGGCTGATATTTTGAATATGGGGGTGGAGTTTTCCTTCTTCACCAAGTTTCTGGTGAGTCCTTTAGCAACAGGATGATGATCTGACCAAGAGCTCAGTGCTCCCCCGTGCTGCAGGGCAGCCCGTACCCCCACCCCGCTGTGACTGAGCCATGACTCCAAGTGCAGGTCCTTGTAAGAGGAGAGTGGGGCCAGCTCTTCACCTCTATGAAGGTCAGATGCCGAGCTCCAGAGTGAATATGGAATCGTACGAGTTC